AGCGAGCGCAAATTTTCGGAATGGAGCAACAGATTCTTTCTGACTTTAGTGACTTCCTAACTATCATTAGTACTTCGCCATTGCTATTTTCACCCTTTTGATAATAGATACTGAAATTAGAGAAGATTTGACTGCAGAAAGAGAAATCTATTAGATCAGTTTTAAGAAGAATAAGTATATCAAAATTGAACGAAGCAGTAAGTAATACAACTTCTTGAAGATGTAAATCAAGACCACGCACATTAAAAATAGGATATGAAGAGAATTTTTAACAGAAGATTCTCTAGGAAGATAGTACTACCATTCAGAAAAACACAACGATAATAAAGGGCAACTTTTCTGATCACATAGAATTTCATTAGCAGAGAAAAATCAATATCAGAAAGACACGAATGCGCCTTACATAGAAAATTATCTCTATTAGACAGTAGTGTTTGAGAAGTACAGGAGATAAAAGGAGTAGCAAAAGAAGAAAGAGTCATGGAAAGTTTTTACTTTCCAAGACTAATTCCAGTTGTGTACGAATTGTCTCGAAATTCGTCTTAAGACGAGGATCAAAAGAACGACCATGTTGATCGTGATTAAGTGATAAAATAAATTTGGACATTTCAGCCAGCATGGGCATAAATAATTTAACTAAAAATTTTCATGTCTTTTCAATTTTAAATCATGTTAAACTTGATTAGCTTCTAAAGCTATATCATTATATTTTAGTAAATCAATATCTTGTTGAATAATTTTATCGTTATCAGTTTTATCATTAATAAATTTCGCGAATTTTTCGTTGCATATAACTAATTTAGAAATATTATCGTTCACTTTTTCCATGTTAATAACCAGTTATCGAGTTTAGATAAAATCTTGTAGTTTGAGCCGATTATTGATAAATTTTAGGCAGGATTTAATTGAGGAAATTGAACAGGATCATATTCAAAATTGTCAGATGTTGATGTTGAATTGTAGTTTGTGAACAACAGTTTTTTTAGTTAATACAGCACGAAATTGTTCCACCAACGGGCAGCTAACCACATTAGAAAAGTACTCTCCACCACAATGAATGCATTTAGGTTGATTCGAGCATAAACGTTGTTTTAAATCCGGGAATGATTATTCACAGGTTTTACATGTTTCATTGGATTGGGTACATTGGCGTTTAAAATGGTCAATGCCACAGCATTTACTACAGATGAGAACTCTCGCAGGAGCAATATATCCTTCTATATCATGCAATCTATAGTTAATATTAATCTTTTCAGCAGCTAAGATGTAATCACGAGAAAATGTAGACAAAAATTCAATTTTAACAGTTTTAATGGTTTGCTGGAATTTGTTTTTTAATCGAATAACATTCTTAATTTTCGAAAATTTTGCTTTTAACTGCCAAGTAAAATCATCTATATCAATGTAAAAACCAGCATGTTTTATAATCAATGATAATTGAAGTGGAATAGAAGGTGACGAAGGAAATGTATAATATTGAGATCCGATTTGTGGTGGTCATTGCTCTTTATCTAGTAAACTTGTAAATGATTTAGGATCTTAGGCAAACAACAAAATATCATATTCATTGAGGAGCATTTGAAAGTTGATAATCTATAATTAGAAAATAAGATATCGGTTTGATGTTGATTTTTAAAGAATAAGGAGATTTCTTCAGCAGCTTGTTTGTTTTTGAGATTTCCAGCTGAAAAACAAATTATAAACGATGAAAACTGGAATCTAATTTGAGTATAACGTGTTGCAGCAATGGAAATATCAAGATGTTGTTGGAAGGAATCATGTGGTACTTTTTGGAGCATCAAATTAGAATTAGTTATGATACGGTGGTTGTATGGATGATATGAAGATTGAATATTGTTGTTGTTAACAGGAACAGGCTGTTGATGCACCTGGCTTAGCTGATTCTTGTTATACATCAAATTATTATTAGTTTTTTTCCTTATACGCCACCGTTGTAAAATCTTCATCAAGATCATGAGAACGTAAACGTCTGATGGATCTTGCAGGTGAATCAATAGATTGAATATTAATTGGAGATGATGGTGCTCGGATATTATTTTGTGAAAGAATTCTGCTTAGCATGATAATGAATATGAGTAGTTGGATCATAAATGTAATCATTGACTAAATTTAGCGAATTACTGACCATTTGAGCTGTTGAATCATGACGAGAATTATGACTCGGTTTATGATGAGTGAGCTGATTCTGTGGATTGTGATAATTGGCCGCCATGACTAGTGGCGTAACCAGAGGGAGGCTAGAGGGAGCTCAGCCCCCCCCCCCCCCCTACGAAGAGCTGAGCTCCCTCCGCGAAAATTTCTATTGTCAATTTTAATAAGTTAAATTTTTATTATCTGAACAGTGGCGTAACTAGGGGGTTGGCAAAGGGGCAATTGCCCATTGAAAATTTTACTAGTAAGTTTTCGCCCATTGAAATTTTACTTGTTCACAAACGTAAATATTTTTTTTCTTTACTTTTTGCTTTTGTCTCTTCTTATAAGACTGGTATAACGGCAAACGAACTATAGCCTAGCTTGTTCAGTGGGTCACCATGTTTCTTCTCCTAGGATAATATATTATAAGCAAAGGCAAAAGAGAAAAAAGAAAAGAACAAATATACATATATACAATTGTGCATTTGCAATTTTGTGGTTCTGTTGTAAAACACACCAATACTATCGTATGTTAAATGAAAAAAGCGACCTAACACTAATAGGTTATTCAGTGGTAATTTTTCTTCGCAGAAAGAAACATTAAAATACACTAGAACACATCTGACTCAGACTTAAAATCTGAGTTTCATGTACATTTGATTAAAAGGATCTCATGTCATTTTTTTTGTCAATAAAAACACCTGTTCCTTTTTTGTATTAATAAAATAATCTCATTTTCATTTTTATCTCTTTTTTAAGTTATTAGTACTTCATTAGGTTGAAAAAGTTCTGCCCTGTCGATAAAAATTTTGCCCATTTTGCCCATCGTTGTTTTTCAATACAATGGAGGTTTGCCCATTGGTCTAAAGATCCTGGTTGTGCCACTGCATTTGGAGGATGAAGTATTGTATATTTTGCTTCTCTCTAATAGAGAAGAGCAAGAGAGTGAATATTCGCTTGCTCTTTGAACCTTTTCACACTTATAATAAAAAAATATGTAAGAATTAGTGTAAGAGCAGAGAAGGCAGTATCTTTAAAAACATACATGTTTTTTAAAAAATGAAGTTCATCAAAACATGTATAAGAAATAGAATAGCTGATGAAAGATTAAGTGATCTTTGTATTTTGTCGATTGAACGTGATTTTCAAATGAATTTCGAACAAGTTATTGATCAGTTTTCAATTAGCCATAAAAATAGTAGAATTATGCTGCGATAGTTGTATTCATTCTGATGTTCAATTTATTTATTTTTCATAATAAAGGATTAAATATTTGAACTTCTATATTGTCTTCATGTATTGTTTCAGTAGAACTCAAGTTACCATATTTTGCTTTCAGGGATGTCCCGAAGTCGGGAAAATTGGGGGGAGAGGGGTCGATAATATAGAAAGTCGTTAAAAAAATTTTCTAAAGATGACCGAACTTTGGGGAAATACAAGCCTTTTTTTTGCAAATTGTTGAGCACAAAAACCGAAAAAAACGTCAATTTTGCCATGAAAAAAAGAAAAATATTCCAAGATTGGGGGTCACCCCCCCCCCCCACAACCCTCCGCTGTGGGACACCTGTTTACTTCAAAAGAGCTGGGGGCTGAGCCCCCTCTACCAATATTTCCTGGTTACGCCACTAGCCATGACGTAAGCTAATTATCAACAAATCACAGATCACGTGCAACACGTGATAGAAAGGTGCAAGGTCAAATCAGGGCAGAAACGTACGTGTGTATATATGATAATAGAAAGGATGAAAATGATTCTGAGAAACTCTTGATAAGTTGTAATAAATGAACGAGCCATTTGTTTTTTCATGTATTCTATTGTTCTTTTTATACTTTTAAAATTATTGTGTTTGATATCAAAACATCATAATAAAAAATGAGTACAGTTTAGATTGTATAAAAATTTTTGACATAAAATAGAACTAAACTGTCATGAAAATGTACCAATCAAGGCAATGTCGTCGAACCTCAGTACATCTTGATTGTGTAACAATTATCAAAGTTATTTTCCTGTCTAAAAGATTCACTTAACCAATAAAATAGTACATCAATTCCTATAGTTATATGATCTTCTGCTATGAGTTTTTTCCTTTTTCATCATAGAAAGAAAAAATAAAAATCATTAATCAGGATTAAAACAATGTTTATGCTTAGGTTAACATAGATGAACTGGAAGTTAATGTGTCTATTTAATGACATCTATCAAAGACAAATAGACTTAATTCGGAACTATGATTTTTCTTTTTGAAATGGATTTCACTGAAAATTATGCACTAAGGTCATTTTCTGTACACAAATCAACGAAAAAGTACTATGATATTAAATCATTTACTATTTTCTGTCATACGTTTCCCATCACAGATTTACAGCATAACTTTTAAACGCAATATATTCAAAACATTATTTCAATGCGTTGTATATGATTATTATTATTATTGTTTTGATTCAATGGAATGTAAAAGAGTGCATTTTCTTTTCGAAGTTATAACTCTAGAAAATAGAATGTTTCTATCATTCCATGAAATGAGCGTGTTTGTTTTTTAAATTCAGTCTCGACATTACAAACTTATATTCTTCAGATAGAAAAATAATGAAGCAATTAGGTCTCTTACATGTCGTATGTAATATGCATGACTTCTCTACATATAATATGTTGAAGAATAAAATCAATTAATTTCAAAGTCATAAAAATGTACCGAGTGGAAATTTTTATTTATGATAAATTATTGAGTTATTAAAAGACGAAAAACAAAAAGCAAAATTCTCGAAAGTTATTATCTTAAGATAGGGAAAAGAATAAAAAACCGTGTCTATTTAAATAAAATAACGATTGAATTTAAATAATAATTTTATAGTTTATGTAAATTAATTCCATCAATAGTTGATATAACTAACATATTTGTACCAAACATCGTAGCACAAGATGGTGATGAATTATAATCACATGTTGATTTTAATTTTCCATCATTTGATATATGATAAAGATTTGATGTATTCCAATCAATAACAAGCCATTCATCATTATTAAGTAAACAACAACGAATTGATCGAGAATCATAATCAATATCAAGATTAAGTGACCATAAACAATCAAATGTTGTTGATATTCGTAATTCAATTATTTGACTTTCTGTTAAACGATTATAAATCAATAAAGCTAATTTTTCTTTATTATATATTATATTATTTATTGTTTCATTTTGTTTACATGTTTGTGGTGATTGCCAACGTTTTGCTAATTGAATTGATGGCCATAATGTAAATTGATATATATTTGAACCCCAATCTTTTGTTGTTACATATAAATATGTATCAGAACATGTACATGACCACCAAGATAATTTCGGAACTTTTTGTATACGTACTATTGACATTGTACTTTCATCAATAAGATATAAATAATTACGTGTTAAAACAAGAAAACGTGCTAATGTTAATGACCAACATATATCTATAATGTAACCTTGTGTCCAAAATTTTTCTTTAATAATATTTAAATCTTTATCTAATAAGCATAAATTTGAATTAAGATGTACAAGTAAATAACGTTCATTAGTACATAAAATTTTTGAACTATCATCAAGATAATTCATTGTTTTATAAGGTGGTGATATAACAGTTGAATTACATATATTTGTTGTTCTTTTAATTTCAATTAAATTATCATTTATTTCTAATGAATGAATATTAATGTGAAAATATTTTTCTTTTATTTCATTTATATCGTGTTCAAGTTGACTAATAATTGTTGTTATATAATCAATATCTCTAGGTAAAATATCTTGTTTATGAATAAGTGTAGCTGTATTTGATCGTATTCGATTAATTTCTTTACGATGTTTATCAATAATTTCAGCAACATGTCGATCAAATTCTCGACATTTTTGTTCATAAAATTGATCAATTAAATGATAACAATCTGAACGCCATTTGTCTAGTTTTTGACGTGATTCACTAATCATATTTTCAATATTTGATGTTGTTAATCGATCATTAAGTGAATTAATTCGATCAGCTAAATCATCTAATGCATTATCATATTCATCATAATGCTCATCAGATAAATCATATTTTTCTGTATGTTTATATGTCGTCATAATTGTGCACAAGTTAGACATAAAAATATCGACTGCAAAGAAGAAAACAGGATGTAAGTTTTACTTACGTTGGTTGTCAGCAAAGAGTAGGTAAAAAAAAAGAAAAAGAAATGATAAAATGGAAAAAGTTGTTTAGTTTTTCTTTTTTGCTGTGACGATGATTATATAATGCTCAGACTAGAAAGGAATTTCTTTTTTTTTCCTTTTCTTTTTCATTCAACGACGTAAATCGAGTTAAGTCACAAACAGATGTGTCATGTGGTGATAACTCATTAGAAAAGTGTTGGTTCAAAGATTCTAAGCGCATATACCTTGAAACAACAATTTGATAATTAAAAGTGTTTTTTTTTATAGAAAAAGGTTAGCGGATCATCTCAAGTTTTATCAAATTTTGACTCGTAAATGTCTAAGACAGACAAACTCTACCAGACATTGATACTTAAATAGAAATTGATAGACTTTAGTATTTTTTGTATTCTATATTTGATTTACAAAAAATAAAGAAATGAAGTTTTCCTAGGAAATCAACATTTGCTTATTTTGTAGAAAAATTCTTTTTTCAGATTCAGATTATATTTCATATAGATCGAATAAATAAATAGCAAACTTGTTATGCTATTGAATTAATCTATGTATAAGCTATCTATTAAATTAATATTTTTTCATAAATTCTTATAAAAAAAATATGTTTTTTCTATTTGTTGATGAATTAATGTGAAGTTTTAGTTTTTACATTTTCTTTCATGTATTTATTTTTTTACTCTTATTTTCAAGTTTGGTTTAATTAATTCTAAATTTAATGATAAAATGAATTTTTAAATATAGATAAGATTAAAATTGATTGCCTGTAAACTTATTGTGATGTATATTTTTGATCTATGATAGACATCTTATTATGAATCTTCTAATGACAAGATAATTTCTTATAACATGACGTTGAATGTATCCAGGGGTATTTTAATGATATTTATGACCGACAGCATAGCTTGATTTTGTAAAAAAGAACCATTTACATTATCTTGAATAACTCTTGGCTAGATTTTTCTACGAAAAACTTGCTTTTTATGCTGATAATTTATACAACTCTATCTAATATTAAATTAACATTAAGAAATTCGTGTATTTAACGTCTTTTTCTATTCTCCAAAGCAGAAAATCATATCGTAATAAAATGATTGATTAATTCTATAGTAGGTCTTGTTTAATATTATTCTTAAGTAGCCATCTACATTGTGGTCATGGTCGTGATAAAAAGAAAAGGGAAGTTTCTTACAATAGTCTTCCCTAATGAGACTTGAAGAATAACTTGAGTTGAACCTTTAATTCAAAATTGTCCTCCTGTTTGAAAATTGAAGATACAATAATATACGGTAGAGAAAAATGCTGCACATGGGTCATGACAAGCACTAGTGACGATTGGCCATGGAAACTTCTGGTTACCACCAATGTACAATATTTTTCTTTGTCGAAGATTGTTCTATCTTCATATCTTAAATGGCTTTTTTTGAAGAGGAGAAAATTTTGAACAAAAGAGTTAACTTGAGTTAGTCTTCTATTCTTGTTATAAAAAGCTGTTGCGAGAGATTTTTCTTTTGTCATGATCATAACCGCAATGCAGATCTCTCGTTTTACAATCCAAAATATAGCAATGTCCTTCTTTGTCTTCTCAACCGATCTTTTATAAGAACATGAAACTGGTTTTGTAATGATAAGCGTGCAACTGACAGATAAATTATTTTTGTTTAGGAAACAAGAAGATCACGACAATCGTATAATATATAATTAGAACTCATTATATTCAAAACTCTTTTCAGATTCGATTTATAGTAATTAGAGGAATCAAGTGCATCTTTCTATTTCTTATTGCAAAGAAAAAAATCAAGATGATATTTCTACATTAAGTTTTAGAAGTGAATGTTAAATATTAAAGAAATGATACAAATTTTAGTAGTATGTGCTCTTCAAATATATGTCAAACATCAACTATGATCTGTCATAGTCATATACTTTTTACCCTATATGATTATATTTATCAGGCGCTTAGAATAATTGTTAGATATATTAAATATTAACTATCGATTCTTATGAATATTTAAATATGAATATATTTAGATACACGTTCGAGAACTTATTACTCTTGAAAAAAACAGACACAATAAGCTCACGAATAGATTGCAGACATACATCAGTCACCTATATTAAATTTTTAAACAAGGTCTCGGTGCCACGAAATAATTTTTGCTGAAAATGCATGTCATATAGATAAACATCCTTCTTCTTTGAACCTGACAATTGTTTTTTTTACAGTCCCTATTGTTATTTTGATTTCTTTTAAATGCACACACATACACTGGTTTTTTTCTCTCTCATTCCTCTTCATCACTTTTAGCTACTACACTAAAACTGCTGCTCATTGTTGGTTATTATTATTCATATCAGGAAAAGCAATAACATTCCAACATCTTACATTAAATGAAAAATTTCAATCAACTAATGATAACAACGATTGTGGTGATCCATTACAATATAAATTAGTTGAAAACCAAATATTTCACTTGATTTGGTATCAAATATTTTAAAACAGAAAAAAGAACTGTTAGCGCAATTCATGTAATATTAAAATGTGAAACATGATGTAGTCACTGTTGCTAATCACAGGGAGATTATTTTATTCGATCTACTTTGGGACACATTTCTTCACCATTGTTTTTCTTAATCCTCCAGAAATGTAATAAAGAAGTAGCTAATATATTATAACTAGACATTATGGATATACGGGGGTCTATGATGAGTCCTCCCTAATGTGTTTGTCGCGTGTGTGAGGGGGGGGGGGGGGGGGGGGGGGGAAGGGATCCAAATTTCTTTCCCTATCCTTCAACACTCCGTGTAGATCGTATCTCATAAAAAGAATGTTTAAATGATTATCAAACAAATGAGAATCAAAATATTAAACGAAAATTCAAAAATTTTTACTCTGCAACGTTCTTTAAATTCACATATATCTAGATGAAAACAATCATACAAAACTTTATGAAACAAAGTCTCGTTTTGTATTCTTATTGAAAAGTTTTTGAATTCATAAAGAAGATGAATAGTATTAAGAATTGTTTCTGATTGCTTCAAAAGTGATAAAACAAAACTAATGTCTTGAAACTTTTTTTTCATTTCGTAGTAAAATATATGACGTCTCTCATAGATAAACACTTTTCAAAAGTCCCAATAGTCTTCATCTAAGAGAAATTTTAATGTAATATGCATGACAATAGAAAGTTTATTCATTTGAAAAGATAATTTCATCATTTATTTCATAAAACAATCAATATTAAATTGACAAATAAAACGTTATCACAAACAACACATTTTTTCATATATATATATACAATTGTTCGTTCAATAAAAATCAAACTAAAGTATTAAAAATGACTATCATCACTTTCCATAGTTTCAACATGTGATTGATTTTGTATATCAGGTACAATTTGTTTCATTGGATTATATGTATCATTAATAAAAATAATTATTTCACCGTATGGTTCTTTTTGATAAACTTTTATTCGTCCTTCACCACAAAGCACTAAAATTAAAATTATAAAAAAAACATAATTCACAGGAAGAAAAATAAACATAAGAAAATTACCAAGTAATAAACCAAAAAGACGAGCTGCTTGAATTCGAGTTATATCTGATCGTTTAAGAAACTGATTAAATGAACCACCATTTGGATTATCAGCAAGACTAAAAATCAAAAAACAAAAATTGAATTAAATAAATAATCTTTATATTATTTACTTGAGAATATCATCAATAGCTTTTTGTTTTTGTTTTTCAAGCCAAGTTGGTGATGGTTCAACAGGTGTTGTTATTGTTGGTCGTCCTCGTCGTTTTGTTTGTAATGGTGACAATGGTTGTCGAATATCAGCTGGAGGTTCCAATGGTGGTAATAATAATTGAAGATCATCAAAACCACTTGGTAATGGTGGAAGAATATCACCATCACTTGTTCTTACTGGTAATTCTGACACACGCTAAAAAATAAATAAAAAAGACGGAATAATATTTTATTTAATTAAGAAAAAAAATCAATAATCTCACATCTTGTGCTGTTGGTACAATTGATGATGGTGATCGTGTACCTGCTTTAGGTAAAAGACCACCTAAAAAAAAAATAACAATATTCTTCATTATATCAAATTTAATAGTAATGTTACACTTACTCGATTGACCTCGTCGAATAGCCATTTCTTGACCTGTACGACGTACTTGAGCAAGAACATCACGTTCATCTATGAATATCATTTATAATTTGAAGATATAAATAAAAATAATTCATTAGCGACGTGACTTTGCAAAATAAAAATACGTGTATCTTAGGATAATAAATTTTCCTGGAAGCAATTTTTATATGTTACATGCGTGTTAAGTTGCTAAAATGACATCGGATGTCATTTCATGCCTTTTAGTTTGAAAAAAATCTTCGGAATCTCTAGAAAGCCGATTTATTAGTATTTGATCTTGCTGAAAATTTCACCATAGATGTAGTTCATGCTATAGAGTGTTTTCTCGCACGGTTAGAGAGATTCAGAAAAATAATCCTTGTAAAAAATCAAAATCAAATGAACAGCGGATATGTCTTATACAAGAAAAAAAAATCCTGTACCTGGATTAGTTAATACTTTTGCTATGTTTATAATATCATCAATAATTGCACTAAAATTGGTACTAGTAATTGCAGTTTTAGCTTTATTCAATAATTTATTCATTCGTTTTGTACCATTCTTTAAAAAAAAAAAAAGAATTAAAAAATGTTAAATTATAATACAAAAATTAAACGCACTCGACCAACTAATGTTGACCATGGTTTTTGTTGTTGCTTATTTCTTTCAAATTCTTGTTCTTCTTCTTCTAGAATTGATTCTAATATATCATAATCAAATTCACTAATATTTTGATAAAGTGATAAATTTTTTCGTTTTTTATTTAATGCATTTGGTGTATTACGTTTCTTTTTTGAAATATGAAAATATTTTTTTTCATCAGCTAATTTCATTACTATATCAGGTACTTGAGCATCAATGCCTGGAACTACTGGTACTTCAGTTGGTAATTGCTAAAATAATTATTTTTGTTTTTGAAACTAATTTATAAGACAAAAAAAACAACAAGTGTCATACTTGATCTAATGGAGGTAATGTATCCATTTGCATAACCATTTCATCTGCACCAATTACTGTTGGTTCTTGAACAAAAATTAAAGGAACACTACTACTTGGAATACAATCAGCACCAAGTAAAATAGTTTTTGTTGGCATTGAACTAGAAAGACAAAATAATTATTAAATTTTCATTAAATAAAATACACATAAAAGATATAAACTCATAGATTGGATATGTATCAATAGCACTTGTAATAAAAGCAAGTGCATCAATAGAAAATTGATCACGTGTAACAATTGTTGGACGTTCAGGTTCAATAGATGTTGTATCCATAAGTGGCATTGATAATGGTGGTAAAATAGATGTTACTGAACGTGCTCGACGATGTTCATCAATAGTTCGATCTTCACTTGGATGTACATAACGATCAGTTGCACCTATATGTCGATCAATACGTGGTGCTATTCAACAAAAAAAATTCAATGATATATATATATATATAGAAAAACTAAAGATCTAACCTTGAAGTAATTCTTTACTTCGATCTTCAGGTTCAGCATGAAAAAATGTTCGATCATAACGCTCATCAATATCCATAGCTGTTGTCGGTGGAACTGGTAATGGTTCACCAAAACGATCATCAATTATATCAAATTTTGGCATTGGTTCCTAAGAATAGCTCGATAGTTTTTATTTTTAATATTAAAATAAATCTTACTTCAATATCAGGTAATAATGTAATACGTTTTCCATGAGTTGGCTTAGAAACTTCCCATGGTAATGGTGGTAAATTATCCTTAGAAATGAAAAAAAAAATAAAAGATAAGTTTTATTTCAAAACAAAAAAAAAACAACAAACTGGTGATTCAACAACTTCTGGTGGTGTTACTTGACGTGGAATTTCAATAGAAAAATCTCTTTCTAATAAAATTCTTTCATCAGGTAATAAATTTTCATCAATATCAATATGCCATTGTGTACCAGTTAAAACTGCTTCTTTTTTACGTGTTAATTTCAATTTAGTTGGACCATCAAATTCAAAAAATCTATAAGAATAATTATATATATATATATAAAGAGTAGTAAAATTTATTCTTTTTCTTTTTTTTACCGATGTACAACAGCATCTTTATATAATTTTTCAACATCGACTATAAAAATGAGAAATAAAAAACGAATAAGAAAAAAAAATCAAGATAATTTACGATGCCATAATAAAACACTTTTCGAATAAACATAAACAAGACCAAGCATAAGATGACTATCAAGAATAAGAGCTAATGGTGAACGACGACGAGTTTTTGAATTAACATATTGAATAACATCTTTACTATAGAAATGTTTTCAATAAAAAAAAATTACAAAAAAAAACAAAATCAAAATTTACTATATAGATTTAAAACTAGCTGAATTTATTAATGTTCTAGTTACTAAACGTCGTTGACTAGCACATTTCCTATTATGAATAAAAATTAAATAAAAAAATTAAAATATTTTATTGATTTATTTTACCAAAGTAATTGTAATGATGGACTATGAGCAAAGATATTTTGTGATTTTTTTGTTGAAGTCATTAAACCAACGAGGTATTGTTATCACACACTTGGCTTACGAATGGTAAAATGATATGTGAATTAAAATAGAATCATTTTCTTTTTACATGAACGGACGTATATCAGTCTGTTATTGCGAGAAAAATAAACAGAATAGTAATATATATATATACACGAACTTAGTCCTTTTGAATAGAGCTGTATACATTAGTACAATTTCGCCGGAAAAAATGAGTTCATTAAGTATTTTTATGTTAAGAAAAAAGAAGAGCTCGTATTGTGTGTATAAAAACATTGTAATGGCGAAACTATTCTTTAAATCTTTATTTATAATCTATAGACACATTAACTTTGATAGATATTTATTTCTATTTTGTTTCTTTTACTTGATTAATGATTTGATCAGAGACTGTGAAAGTGATGAAGGGATGTACATTCTTATTCAGTAAAACTACTAAGATTTTTTGAATTTGTTACTACCTCTATGAGACATTTTCTTGCACACCTTCCCATCTGGAAAACCTTCGTGTGGTGTGTGGATTTAACATCTTTATGTTGTTTCTTGTTTTATCGATTAATCTACTTTTGTAAAATCATATTTCAACAATTGTTTCACTTTGTGTGTTTGATAGTTTTTAAAAACTGTCCGTCGAAAAAAAATAAAAATTAACGTAAACACATGAAAAGGTAGGCCGAAGTTTGATCTTTTATAAATGATATGATTTTTTATTCGGCCTTTCATTTTTTGCCAAAGTTTTCGATGGTTTCTATCGTCAACTACTTGAAAAATATGCTTTTTTAATCATGTAACCAAGAATTCTCAGTTGATCTTCATTTTATATGTAGGATGTTCCACAAGTCATGATTACTTAACAAATGCAGAGAACCTCACTACTGAACAATCTTAATCGACAACTTTTTTCTTTTTTATTTGAAAGAAAAGACTAGAAAGTTTTTATTCTTAAAGACCAAGCTCATCAACACTGTAGAATAGGTAGCACTTTCGACTACAATATAAAAATTAGGCTTTTCTTCGACGCTAAAAATTGAATGTACTGGTGTTTTCGAAATTTACTCGAATTTTCATTATTATTATGACCGTGAGGTCATTCGAATCTTTCACCCTGACTTTATAAACAATTATTCTGATGAAAAGAAAGAAACTGGTCAATTTAAATGACAGATGAGTTATTGAATGGGCGAACGTACTTGTTTCAACGATTATTAAAGTTTTTGAGAAGTCACGAACAACCTATCTTGAAGACAGGCACTAATCCTTCGATCCTTTTAAAATATATCAAACAAAAATAAAGATGTATTCAAACATGTACAAGATTGCCAAAAGCTTCTTTCTATTATTTTAATATGTTTAAGGTTCTCCCCTCAAAGATTGATCTCAGCCTAGGAACGTTCAAATGATATGAAATTTTCAGGATATGTTGGAGCTATTGTGAAGAAGCTATGGCGACATTTTCAGCCCGATATCATGATGTTTGAAGGAGATATTGGACAAACAAGGGTCAAATATAGCGAATTTGGCAACCCAAATTTTTCAGTTCAGGCCTATGTTATGTATTTTAATTTTTTTTTGTTTGAAAGAGAATGTCAGGATGCAGGGCACCACAGAGCCCTTTTTTTTAAATTCTTACTTTTTAAGTGGAAATAAGAAATCACAAATTCATTGACTGAAAAAAACTAAAAAAATGGCGCTGTTGCTATAGAGATGTTTTATTATATTATTATAAAAAAGTTTATTTTAAAAAAAAGAACCCTGTGGTATCCTGCGTCTTGACATGTTCTTCCCAACAAAAAAAATTTAGATACGTCACATGGATCTGGACTGAGAAATTTTAGTTGCACGTTCGACATATCATGAACTGAGAAAAAGGAAAAAGATTTTCGGTTTTTTTTCAAAAATGACTTATTTTTCAAATAGAGGATGATGAAAATTCTCAGAAATTTTTGGAAAATTATGTTCAATAAAATAATCTCGACAAAGATGTTTATTACAATAGGTAAGCGATATTGAACTCGACGTATTTTAGTTTGTATTGTAATATATAGACAGAGCAATAGTTAAATATATCTTTTTTATACAAATGCATAGCTTTTCATTACATCCCAGAAAAGACAAAATGATTCATTGTTTGCAATCGTCAAGGAATTATCTACTTGATAAGGAAGAGAAAATATTTAACTATCAACAGAATAGAACAAAACTATAGATATTCTTAAAAATGATATATTTTTATTGGAAAAAAATACTCATACGTCAGCAAATCGTAGAGTTATTTTAATTTATTGTATATTTGCCTTTTTGTTTTTCAAGAATAATAGTATTTATTTGTTTGATTTCGTGTAATTATCATATGAATCAGCAATAATAATTATTACATTGTCAGGAGATTCACGTATTTTACAAAGGAAAATAATGAGTGTAAGCTATAAAGCAAGATTTTCTAGTTTCTCTCTTCTTCATAGCAACCTATGTCATAGCGTGACGTTGAGAATATAGGTCAATGATTTTAACGCCATTGACAGTCATAACAACGCTGGCAAAGATATGAAACTCCTTTTTCTATAGTTTATTAGTAATGAAAAAAAAAACGCTGAACGACATCAACAACAAGGTTTACATGTTTTGAGAATATTCCAAAGTGTTCTTTGAAATTTAAATGTTTATAATACTTTTTAAGGTGTTATAAATAGCAAAGTTTCAGATTTTTTTGCACAGATAAAAAAAAATTATATGATAGATATAAAAGATGATGACTAGAGATGTTTTGATTGTAATATGACTCATACTAACAGTATGAAATGATCAAGTTGTAACTTTCGGGTAGTGTTCCTGAAATTATCGAGATATATAATCGTATGTTGAGACCTATTGTAAATATAATAGATGTGTACAATAGACTTATTTGTGAGTTAAATTAATGGTCAGAATTTCGACATTATTTGTCTGATGATCGATTCGATTATTTTTGGAAAGAAACTATTATCTATTAGAGATTTTTCACTCAAGATATTTTTTTATTAATATAATAAATTTGAAAAACATATGAGTTTCACTTTGTAGACTTAAAAGGAGCTGTGGTAACAAGCTTTTTCATTATTCACATTCATGATTATACAAAATTAAAGGAGACAAATATTCCAAATTTTAGTGTGCGTTTTTAACTTTCATTATTTAATCGCTCGAGAAACAAACCTAACTCATTTTCCAATATGAAACAAAGAAAAAACAATTTAAAATTTTGTTAATATTGATTATTTATGTTCATTCAAAACATTTTTCACACAAGGAAGAAATACAAACAAGAAACTTCAAACAAAAAAAAAAAGCATCTATTGAATATTTTGTACAACTCGAAGAAATTCTTCAGCAGTTGGTTTCAGACATGAACGTTCATCAAATGATGATGATTCAAGACAATTTCGAATAGCAGCACTTGTTGTCTTGCCAAAACTAATTAACTAAATAGAAATTTACAATTGTACAAAATAAAAAGGTTTCATATAAAAAAAAATCACTTACAACAATTTTATTATTTGTTAGATCAAGACCAATTCGTTGACTTGCTTTGAATACACTATCAAATCCACTTGGACTGAAGAAACCGATAACATTCGGTACCTAAATAATCTTTTTTTATTTTAGGAAATTCAATTAAATATAATCTAAATTTTACGCCATGATTTTTAAGATATTCATTTAATTCCTGTTCAAGACTATCCGATGGTATTGTTTCATACACAATTATTTCATCCAGATGAATTGCTAAATAAAGAAAAACAATAAGTTTCTTTTTTATTAATTTTAATGCAAGAAGATTTTGAATAACCTCTTTCACTTGAAAGTCGTTTTGGAAGTAGATCTAATCGAGCTTGTGCACATGGAAATAGAAGATTTACTGTACCTTCTATATCTCGTACATCTAATAACCAAAAAAAACAAAAGGCAAATTGATTTAACTCACTATTCAATCTCTTTCCACTACCTTTGATAATAAAATCAGCTAATAGTTCACTTCCACCAGATTCAGCACCAAGAATCTTAGTTGTTGAACCAAAAAGTTCTTTAACTAAAATGTATAGTATAAGATTTTTCTTTAATACAAAGAAAAACAAAAATGATATACCTAGTGTGCCTGTAGCTGGTCCTTCGACATAGATTCGTTGCCATCGTTGTCGATCATTATCTAAGAGAAGAGGAAAAAAGAAGAAATATTTGAAATAGATTAACAAATCATGCAACAAAAAAAAAACAAAACATACTTTTCATTTCTTTACTCTTTCTCTCTTTCTTTATGTACCTGTAAGAACTCGTTGAACAGCTTCAACAGCTCGTTTACTTGTAAATATAAGACCATAATAATCATGTGACTATATTTCAATTAACAGAACAAATAAAAATTTAAATTTCCTATAATACATACTTTTAGTTTTGTAGATAGTAAATCAATATTTATGAAACGAAATTGAATAGGTGAGATTGTTTTTACATGATAACCATGATCATGTAATAACTATAACAAAACTATAATTAATGTGAAAAAGTTTAATTTAATAAAATTTAACCTTTTCATAAACATCTTCATTTGATGCATCATCTGTTTTTGATCGAAATAATAGAACTGTTTTTACAGACATTTTATAATAACTACAACATAAAAATCTTTTGCATTGTTTAAAATTATTTTATTTCGATAAAATGAATAATTACAGAAAATGAATTCAATAAATATATATATTTAGTATGCTAAAAGGAAAACCAATAAAAATGTAAATATAGTTTTACTGATAATCTGTACGTGTCGCTTGAGAAATATTGTTATCAATGTTAAATAGTGACCTCTTCTGATTGGCTTCAGAAATAATATTCTATGAAGAAATTTAGTTAAATACAGACCTAACTAACTATGATGGTATCAATTAAAAATAATGGACGTGAAAAAATGTTCATGTGAAAGCATGTCTAATGCATTAGTTTTTTTTAGCCATACAGCTTCTATTTTATGTGAATATGAAGGAATATTAAAAGAAATGTCAGAGTGACAGTTCTTTGTAATCAATGATATTATCTAAACAGAAATTTGTCATAAGCTTTTAGTGGAATTGGTCTCATTTTCTTTGTAAATTGAAAGTCGTTTTTTTTCTATGTATTGATTATCTCAGTAAATGCAATAAAATGAGTGACAATAAACTGTTTATGCAACAGATAGTCTTTTGAAGAAGTGATCCCAGATTTTGATAGATTATTTTTTCTTTCTTGCTTTCAACTATTTTTTAGAGAGGGATATTTCAAAAGGTCATCTCATGAAAAAATAAAATGAAAATACAAGCTAAACAATGTTTTAATTGATTTAAGATTTTCCATATTTTCTTATTTGAGATTTTTTTCATTGTGTTTGATCGAATACTTCAACGTATCATTTTTTATGCAATAAGTTAATCACAGTAGATACGTACATGTTCTTGAATATCTTCGTGAAAATACATACAAACGAACTCGATTGCAATCATTGACAATTACAGCAAATTTACATTATTGCGTTTTTATTAATTAACATTTGTTTCTTTACTATTACTATAGACATTTACTCAAAATTTCCTTTTGCTGATGGTAATACATGTATATTTCGAGTTTTGCGCAATAAATAATCAATAAAAATATTTGATCCAACATAACTTTTCAATAAAACATTGAATTAAATTATAAGTGTGTTTTTCTATTCTAGAAAATACGTGTTGCACATTCATTTGTTTCTTCTTTAGAATTTTGTATTGTCATTGCTATTTTTGCATTTTATTATTTTCTGAAAGTTCTCAAATTTTCTTAGTTTTCTTTTTTTTTTTTGATATTTGTATATGTACTTTGTTAACTCTGTGTTCCATTATTGACAAAACAAATCCTTGTTGAAAAATTGGGTTAGAAAAAAAAAAAGAAGATGGTGTTGAATACTTGATATAGTTCTCATATTTTGTATTTCCTTACAAAAATATCACAGTCTCTTATGTTTATCAAAGCCAAACTTTTTTTGTCTGCATTGATGAATTTCACAGTTGCATTGAGTTCTCTCTTTGTACCTATTCACTTCTCATGCAAGATGAAATATATGTTAAAGAAAAGCTGCAGTCCGTATGTAGAAATTATTGATGCACTATCGCTTTCATTTCATTGATAGGAAACACATTCTAATAAAATAAGATGAAAATAATTTCTTTATTTTATTTTTTCTCGTAAAAAAAATTATGACAATGGTTTGCTAATAGATAATACGTCCATTTTGATCAAATCGAGTTCTGCGTACATGTTTCATAGGTAAGGGTTGAAGAGGAATTACTCTTCGATTTCGTTGACAACATAGAAATTTCTTCAGCTTCTTCCGAAATCCCGACAATGATCCACAATAAACAAATGGAAATAAAAATATTATGTAACATGAAAAATAATACGCATAAGATCTAACTCTAATTATATAATCAATTGATAAACCAATTTCATAGGATAGATCAATTACTGTCCATGGAAAATTGAAGAAAAAATAGAGCATTGAAGTATTTAATAATTGAATTGCTATTTTTCGTTGTTTTCGCCATTGAATCAATTGATTCAAACGATTTTTTTCATATAGTATACGGATACCAAGAGCAATACTAAAAATAACAATAATGAATGTTGGAATAATTTGATGGCATATAAGATCAAGTTTGCCGATAATTGTTTTTTCAATTACACAAGGAATAGGAACACCATTGATATATGAATGATAATATGAATTTTCACAAGGTGGAAAATAAATTATAAAACAACAATAGATAAAAATATATATGATAAGTGTAATTAACGGTAGATAATGAATAAAAAAACGTTTCTTTTTTGTTGATAACCACTGAAACTTAAATGTAAGTATATGTCTTTCAATTGTAGCCCAAGCAAAAATAATTATTTGTGTTGTATACAATGCAAAATCGATATATGTCCAGAAAAGAGAAACACTAGGTGTTAATTGCCAAGAATCACCAAAACGATAGTAATGAAGAGTCAATGGAATATCTATTAGTTCAAATAAAAGACCAATGAATAGAAGAACAATGAATACATGATTATTCAATGCTTGACGACGAGTTCGATCAAATAAGAGATAATAAAGGACGAAAAATGAACATAGAATAGATAATACATTCGGAACAAGATAAAGCCAAAATCGAGCAGAAATAGACAGAGCTAAGTCTGAACCAGAATAGAATTCTTCTTCTTCTTCTACAGTATCATTTGTGTCAGACATTTTCAAAAATAAAAAACGTTTGAAAATTAGTGAACATTGAATGAGTATCAAATATGAGATGAGATCTCCATTTTTTGAGAGGATTTACTCATAAACATTACTACAAGATTTTTTTTCTCATTTGAAAATATTTTCTAAAGAATACTTATTAGTATTGACAACGTTTTTCATTTCAATCTAAATTCTTTACAAATCTTCTTATCCTATTATAATAAAGTCTCGCAAGAAAGTTAATACTAAGTCTTTATATCCATGTCTTTAAACTCAAGTATGAAATTATTGCCTAGGGCTTACGATAGATAAAAAAAAAACATGTTTTTTTTAGAAATTATGAAAGTCTCAGTTTTGTAACAAACACAACATAATAGGTTAATATAAGAACATATTTTTGTGTCTTTTGTCTGAAATAAAACTGGAAGCGAATAATAAACCAATTGTCTCAAAAACTAAGCATACTTTCGGGAAACTTTACAGGATGATCTTAAGTAAATAATAATTAAATCTCATTCAAGATGGTTGAGCATTTTTTAATTTAGACGATTAAATTGTTATGCTTAACGATTGTTTTTTTCTAGAAAATAAAAAAGAAATGAAAAAGAATTTTTCATTTTCTATAAATAAGTTTTAGTTGGGATGTTTTCAAGTACTTATCAATTGTCAAAAATTCTCATATACTAGAAATATGCCTTTTTCATAGTTGAGCTCCTGTATATTAATCAACAATTTTATTTTTCTTTCGATGTTTCTTAGAAACCCAATGAAAAAAGATTTCGAAAAAAAATTCATAAGGTGCAACCAATGCAAAATTGGAGCAAATTTTTTTTTTCGTTTTTTTATACATGGTTATATAGAGCTCGTCGAGCTGAGTAAGAATATATCTGTTTTAATATTTTTCATAAGGGTTTTGATTAAAAAAAACTCAAGCTTTTTCGATAACCCTCAATAGTCCATTTTTCCTAAAAAACCTCAAAACATTGCTACTTTCTTAAAAATTTTTTCAATTTTTTAAGAAAATTTCATTTCTTTGGAATTTTCAAAATGAGATATTCAGATTCTTCATGAAAAACTACGTCGATTGAACCTATTTCTGACCTATTTTTGATTTTCTTTAGTGAAAATATGCTTACCAAATGAATGAAGGCTAACAGTAAGAAAAAAGTCAAAAAATGGTATGTCATGGATTTCTTTGCAAATCTATCTAATTTTTCGCGTTCTCAAGATATAGCTGAGTTTCATATACCATTAGAACCGCCAGACATCGGGCTTCAAAAGTATAACTTTAGTTTTCCGAAATATTGATATATTGCAAATGAACACTGTTTAACTCTGAGTCAAGACCCAAAAAGTATGAAATTCTACCAGTAATTCGAGATTTTCTTCATCAAAATTCAGTTATTTTGAGGAAAAAATAGTATATTCCGAATCAGCACAAAAAATTACGCCGACTAAGATGATTTCCTTTAACTTGCGAAGATTTCGGTTGTTTGACAAATTTTGACCCTGACATATGAGCCTCGATTTTCATGAAAAAATGAAAATTAAGAAAACAACTTAACATATATCCTAGTCGGCGCAGGTTTTTGTGCTGATTCGGAATATACTATTTTTTCTTCGAAATAACTGAATTTTGATGAAGAAAATCTCGGATTACTGGTAGAATTTCATACTTTTTGGGTCTTGACCCAGAGTTGAACAGTGTTCATTTCCAATATATCAATATTTCGGAAAACCAAAGTTATACTTTTGAAGCCCAATGTCTGACGATTCTAATGGTATATGAAACTCAGCTATATCTTGAGAATGCGAAAAACTAGATAGGTTTGTAAAAAAATCTATGACATACCATTTTTTGACTTTTTTCTTACTGTCAGCCTTCATTCATTTGGTAAGCCTATTTTCACTAAAGAAAATCAAAAATAGGTCAGAAATAGGTTCAATCGACGTAGTTTTTCATGAGGAATCTGAATATCTCATTTTGAAAATTCCAAAGAAATGAAATTTTCTTAAAAAATTGAAAAACTTTTAAGAATGTAGCAATGTTTTGAGGTTTTTTAGGAAAAATGGACTATTGAGGGTTATCGAAAAAGCTTGAGTTTTTTTTAATCAAAACCCTTATGAAAAATATTAAAACAGATATATTCTTACTCAGCTCGACGAGCTCTATCTAACCATGTATAAAAAAACGAAAAAAAAAATTTGCTCCAATTTTGCATTGTTTGCACCTTACATACTAATTGAAATTCAATATAATCTTTCCTTTCATGAGTAATTAAAGTCCATTGTAATTACACCATTTCCATTTTTTTTTCTATCTTTGCCATATTTAAAAGTGGAGGGGTATTAAATATATACACATTTGGAGAGTAACATCTAAACTGTTTTTCAACAGAAATTACAACTGCAAGAAAGTGCCACATTGGTAAAAATATTGAAAACTTTTATCAAAGTCATTTTTTACTTCTTTTATATATAGATTTACTCACCCAGTGTTTTGTCATTAACTCTGACAGTTTTTGATGGGTTGACTTAAATCTTTTTCAAACGATAGCTTCTGTAAAATCCAAGAGAAACAGCTCTTCAAAAGAATAATCGAACAACCGTATCTGTGCATGAGTATTACACTTCAAAAAGGTCCACTATCACAGACACTGTGTTTTTTTATAAAACAAATTATTTCACTTCTCCTAACTAAACAGGTTTTAGACCATTTTAAGTGATTTTTTTTGAAAAGCTGGTTTTTTTGTGGAGAATTGCAGAGGCTATCTTTTGGAAAACACTCAAGTCAAAGCATCAAAAACTGACAGACATATTCAATATTTTTACCAATGTAGCATTTCCTTGCGGTTGCAATTTCTGTTGAAAAACAGCTTAGATGTTACTCTTCAAATATACATATCCAATACTTCTTCACCTTTGAATATGACAAAAATACAAAAAAATAAAAATAAAAATGGGATTGTTAATTATGAAACACTCTTGACAACCCTTATTGCAATTATTATCAAGTAAAAGAAACGATTTTGACATATGTTTCATGATTATATTAGATTATTTTTTCATCTCTACTCATTTTATATATGATAAGAGTTACAGAAAACTACCATTAATTTTTTGTGGCCGTTTATTGACATATCTTTCATCTTTAAATTCAAAAGAATGAACCGTGAAATAATAATAAAATCCTATATATTTTTTTAAAAACTTATGCATTGCTATGAGTTTTTTTTTAGTTACTACTTGCCACAGACAAAATGTTTTTATAGAATAAAATGATGAAATAAAAACGATATAGAATTGTACTCTGTGTACACAACTTTTTTTAAAATTCTATACGTCAGAGATCTCACAAGATGTAATAACATATAATATTCACAATATGAAATACCAATAGCCTCTATAACGTTTTCGTATAATATTCATTTGCATTAGAAACGATCATAAGGTTTATTTTTTTCTGTTATCTATAAATAGTAAGCATTAATGAGAAATCATTTTCATTTAAGATATTATTCATGTTTTCAAGACTTTTTCTACTTCAAAATTTAATAAGAACTACTGTTTTGCTGTTGTTGACAACTTGCATAGGTCAAATAGTAGTTCACAAAATATAAAAATTCACCATAGATATAAATATAAAAAACAAAAAATTCACGTCTGTAACCTTTTACATAGCAACAGTATCATATTAAGAAAGAAATGACTGAAGAATATTGATGACAAGATGAAGAATTGGAATGCATTATAATTGAACTGTCATTGCCTGCTATTTATTATTATAGAAGACGTATAAGAAGAGCAATACTAAAGATAGTCATGAAGAATAATGAGATAATTTAATGCTATATGAGGACCTAGTTACTAGGCCTGGATAACCAATTGTACAAGGAAAAGAAACTTCATTAATTGAAAACTGATAGTTCAAGTTCCACCAGTATGAAAAAACGTACAAGCTAATGTTAGACACAATAATAGTCGGTAAATATTATTAAACGAAGTTAATTTATGCAAGAAATATTGTTTTTTTTTGTTAATGTTCAATTAATCAAAAATTAGCACTATATCTTTGAATTATGGTTCAAACAAAGATGAGTCGTTGCGAAGCATAAAATCCGTAGCCAATCAATGCACAATAATAAAAACATTCCAATTTATAATTTTCAATTATCGTTTAGTCGACTCATGTATCAAACACAATTTAAAGTCTCAATGTGAGTTTCATTTCTCTGTTTAAAAACTAATAATTCGACTCTCGCTAAAACAAAGAACGTACACTTCACTTCAATCATACTTTCGAAGAAAAAAGTTCTCTACAATATTCAATGAATCTATTTGAGTTTATAAAGTACAATGTACTATCAATAGATGTTTCATGATAAAAAGAAAAAAAGAAAACCTTAATTGTCATGTGTTACAGTGTATGTGGAGGGGAAACAAATAACAAACAAATTAAAACTTGCTTCCTGAAATACTAAATGACGGAAATGGTAGTAGCATGTGTGAATAAAACATACAAGCAAAAGAAAAGTGTTTCCTAGATCAATAAATAAACAGGATGTTATTTTGCTATAATGTGAGAGAACTGCTCAAAGTCATTTTTAAAGAATCATTCTATTTGTACACTCATTTTTTGCATACAAACAAACAAATATCAAAGGAAATTTGCCAGTAATTCGTAATATTACAAATTGAGTCACATTTTACTCCATCATCAAAGATAAACTCGTTATATTATCATTTGTTATTATTATGTTTCGTCAATCTATACCTTTTTTTTGCATCAAACTCAAAAGTTCATAAAGATAAGAACACTGATTATTATCTTGACTGCCATGTTGTTGATTCTGGTTAACCAAACCCTTGTTGAATGTTTATCTTTGAAAATTTCTGAAAAAAATTTAGTAACTTATAATATTCATGGACAAGATAAGAAATTTTTTAAAATCTATAATTTAAAGTCTCGTCGATATATAAATTATCTGTAAATGATTAGGAAATTTCTTCAAACCCTTCTTTATTAAAGTCAAGTTTGAATACTATCTATCTGTAAAACAACTATTTTGTTTTTTCAATATAGGCTTTCCAGAAGTTCCATTATAAGTTTTATATAAACAGCAAAACTAAATTGAAATTATGACATTTCTGGCTTATGTCTCACATGAAACCGATGAACTAAAGAGTTTGGTTCATTATTGTAGGCAAAGTCATGCATGCTAAAATCATTATTAACGTTTGTCGTGTTCACTTATTCAATGACGTCATAAAAACGCTATTATAGTTATAGTTGGTTTCGGTTCTCATGTCCATACCATTATTGTCATTTTACACAAGTGTCTAAATTATTTTATGGTAGCACATAAAAAGCATAGATTTATATGCTGATGAGTGTTCTTAGAGAATGAGTTAGAAATTTTAGATGATTAACACTTCCATTAGGCAAGACAATCAGAATATTGAAATTGAAAAAAACCATTTGGTAAAGTACAGAATTATAAATGCACATTTGTTTTTCTATGTCATCGCTCTTGATATGCAACAGACATGACCTGTTTCAATCAACTCTTATCAAAGAATAGGGTGTAAATGTGAATGTTTCGAATACTTTGAGTTAATGGATGACGCAGAATTAATGGTGGTGTCACTATTTTGCCAATATCTCATCAAGTTCTCATTATTTAGAAACTAAGTTTTTTTTTTTATCAAAAGATTATACTTTTAATTCTACAAATCTATATGTTCCTATCAATAAAAACATGTTTCATAGTTTTCGGATACTCAATAGGAAAAATTAGTTTAATACGTTCAACTTTTTGCGAAATATTGTTATCATTACTTTTTTTACTTCTTAAAGTAATGTTATTTTCTGCATTAAGTTATTCAAATTTGTTACTTAAAAATTTCCATTTCAAATGTAATAGTCTAACTAGTTTCTGCATTGATTGTTCGAAGTCCGATGAGTATTGTAAAAAAAAAATAATAATGCCAAAATTGTCTTGATACCAGTCCTTAGTTGAAGGATGGCCTATAGATTTGTATCATTATGTTTAAATCTTTAATCATTACCAAGCACCTCATTCCTATCCCTTAGGATAGTAGAAGCACTACTCTGATATAACAAGTATTTAATAAAGATAGTTCTCGAGAATAGCTAAAATTCCGCAAACTAGTACAAGATCAAGAAAGAACATCGAATTCAAGAATAATATCACGACAGTTTCAGCATATTTTTTTTAATAATGCTCATTAGCCTTCGAACCATCAAGGCAGAAATTAGTTAGACTATTATATTTGAAATGGAAATTTTTAAGTAATAAATGCAAACAACTTCAAATAGAAAACAACATTACTCTAAGAATTAACAAAGTGTGATAATAATACTTTGCAAAAAGTTGAACGTATTGAACTAATGTTTTTTGTATTGAATATCTGAAAACTACGGAACATGTTTTTATTAATAGAAATATATAAATTTGTAGAGAATTAAAAGTATAATCTTTTGATAAAAAAAAAATAAGTCCAAAATTATGAGAGCTAGATAAGATATTAGAAAAATACTGACATTGCTACGTTAGATGAGTTTCGATTTAATTAAAGCTTGTCTCCTCTTGTTTAAATGCAATAACTTTTCATCAATGATTATCAAGTTGTATTATAATCAGTCGATATGTTGAAAAAATATAAATTATAGAAATCTACGAACCAAAAAAAACAAGTAGTGTAATAAAATAGTGACTGATATTCTTCAGTAGCTTTCATTTAATCATTGTTGATTCCATAGAAAAAAAAGACCACGTTTCCTTTTAAATCAAGAGTTATTTGCTAATACTAAGTAAATCATATTCAATTTTTGCCCAACTTTCATCAATACGACTATATGTATAAACCAATTGAAATAGAAATTTGTAACATAATCTTTTTATTATATTCTTATTATTTTATTACCAGAAATGATGCGTTACAAGCTGATAAAATTGTTAAATGTATTAATAGACAAAACAAGAAGATTCTAGCATAAAGCAACTACACGCATATAAATAAGAATACAAACAATATTAACCGTCTGTATCACTGTCAGATGATGAATACGAATCAACAACAGTTTGTTTGGCCGTTTTGCTTTTACTAGTAGTACTAGTTGTTGCTCCATGTCTTGGTGAATGTTCATTTGTCGAAGTTGCATTATGAAGACCACCTCGTGTCGAATGTGGTTTTCGATAATCATCGTGTTCGTATGATCTACCACGGTGAGGATGACTATCTGCTGGTAAACTATGAGTTGAACCTAATTCATCATGACGGCGATGATCTGTTAATGCACCTGTAGAACCTGAATATTGACCAACAAGAGAACCTATTGTTGTTCGTGACGGATTATTGATTGCCGTTTCACTAACACTTCGTTGAGATGGAAGAAGACGGTGAAATGGTGCAGCCGTACGAAATTCCTCAAAAAAAAAACAAACAATGTTATTTAAGACAAAGAAAACAAATATTTCTATATATTTTTGTATGTTTACTTCTAAATCATGAGCAATATCAATATTTAATAGTTGTTGATGTGCATATGTATACATTTCCATAGCACGAGCATGAAAAGATAAATTAATTAATGTAAAATCTGTTAAATATTTTTTAATATCAGTTAATTTCATTTGTTCAAATTTATCAATTTCATCTTGAACAACATCATCTGCACGTGTTGATTCTGTGTGTGCATATTCAGCATTAACTTGCATAGCAACAATAGCATCACGATTTCCTGGATTACGATTTGTTGCTTGTTGTAATTTACGTTGTCGTTGTACACCTTTATCTCGTGCACTAATAGCTTTTTGTACGGCTTGCTATAAAAAATTTACAAACAAACAAATCAATAAATTAATTTTGTTTTAAAAATTCTTTCATTCATACTCGTTTAAGTTTCAATACTTCACCATATTTAGCAAGAGGTTCAAGTATTTGATGTTCAATTCTTGTAATCTATAAATAAAAAGAAACAAAAAAAAAATTATTCTTTAAAAAAATTTTGTAACTTACAAGTGCATTACGATAATCTTCAACAGCTGATAAATAACTTGCATATTGTTGAAGACTTTGTCTTAATGATGTGTTTATACGTTCACGATCAGCAAATTCAAACATATTGTGAACCATTTGATCATTACAATCACGTAATCGTGCTTCTTTACGACAAACTTTACCAAATTGTAAACATATACTACCTAAATATTTTTCCGTTTGGTTGATACGATCTAATACGAATTTCGTATTGTTTGGATCACTATTCATAAGAAAAAAATAAATATCAAAATAAAAATGTTAAATTTAAGTTTATTTACCGTTCATGAAACATAATGTTAGTCTGCTGTTTGAAAATGAAATAAATGCAAATAAATAAACGGATATGCCATGTATTGATATGTAGTGATTAGAGTTGCTAAGCAATAATCGAATAGATGTCACTAAATATTAATGAAAATAGTTTACAAATTATTTATTTTAGAAAATACTATCATTTAAATTAAATAATATTGACAAGAAAATTTTGAATATTTCGGAGTAAGGATGATCGTTTGTAACTAAGAAACCAGAGGTCATCATTATCACATAATAAGAAAAATAAAATTACCTGCCTGTGAACAAAATCTCTTTGACTGGACGTCTTTTTTCAAACAGGAGTATGACTTGAAGAAGAAAAAAAAAACAGATTTTCAATAATTTAAGTGACATGTTAAATTAAAAAATCAGATTGAGAACGAATTCCCTTTCCACAAGCAAAACTTAGTACTTCTAACATATAATTAGCTTATAGTGAAACCATAGATTTGCGTTTTTTTTTTAATGACAGAACTCAAACTTGCAAAATTTTTCACAAGTATCTCATTAGTAATGAATGTTCTGTGCCAAAGTTTTCTATAAAAGGAAAAGGTGATATCTTCATGTCTAGCATTAGAAAACAGTTCATAAAAAATTCATTGAATATTAAATTGAATTTTTATTGAATATTAAATTGAATTCTTCGGCAAGTTTGATTTTTTTATTTCAGCTATGTTTGTAACTTTGTTCACTGATCTTCCTGATCTTGTTATTCTTAATATTCTTCGTTATCTTTCACCTTTTGATGCAATTCAAGCATTTTATAATATTGATAATAATACGGAACGAATTTTAAATCTTTTAATTGAAGGTCAATGTTTTTCAACTATTCATCATTTTCGTTTATCTTTATTTAATTTTGTTTGTGATTATGTTTTATCACGTATTGGTAATAAACTTTCTCATTTAACTCTATATGATCATCAACTTGGATTAGCTCATAAAAAACAAATTCTTTTATATTTAACAAATATTTTATCACTTCATTTAATAAATATAGTTGAAATAACAGAAAATGATAATCATCTTTCATATTTTTTACATAAACAATTAAAAAATCTTACAATTAAATTTCTTAGTGAAAATCATATTGAAGCTCAAGCTTATGTATGTGAACAATTTATATTTAATAAAAAATCTGAAAATTTAATTGATTGTTGTTTATTAAATAATTATGGTATACAACTTCAACATTTAACTTTATTTCCAAATAATTCTATTGAAAAAATGACAGTACAATTAAAACAATTATCAGATTTACATGTACTTTTTGATCATTTATTGAATATAAAAATTTTAAATATTGAACTTTGTCGATGGACTATTGAAGATATTAAATATGATTATACAAAATTACCAAAAAAACTTTCTCATTTAATTGAATTTTCTCTTAAAAGTGAACATATATTAAGTTTTAATCAAATAATAACAATTATTCGTTATCTTATTCATTTAAAAAAACTTTCATTTATTTATCGAAATTATGATGAATATGGTATTGATATAAATCAACTTGAATTAACATTAAATTATCTTAAAAATTTAACACAATTTCATTTTATTATTAAATTTATATATTTTAATCTTAATCCAAAATTAACATTTGAAAATAATATTCAATTTAAACAACAATGGAATATACATACATATAAAAATTCATTATATAAAAATTATCTTGCATATACACAACCATTTATAAATCGAAAATATTCAATTTCAACTGATATTCTATTTCAAGATAATTCAATAGATTTTTCATCAATAACTAATTTAAGTTTAATAACACATACAAAACAACTTTCAATTTTACCTTTTATACATTTATTAAATAGTAATTTTCCATCAATTACTCATCTTCATATTGTAGATTCATTTGGTATTGAAGATAATAATAATTATGATTTTAAATTACCTAAAATTCATTCATTTGATGCATCTGAATTAAAAATATCGAATTTATTTCAAATATTTTTACAATCAATGCCTAATTTAATTTATCTTCATGTAAATTTAAATGTTTTATTAACTTATGATCTTAAATTATTGTTAACAAAAAATAAAATCAAACATCTCGAATTAATAACAAATAATTTAGATGAAATTAATAATATTTTATTTTATTTTTCATCTTTAGAACATTTAGTTATCAATAGTAAGAAACAATCAAATCAATATACACGAAAATATCTTCAAATTATATTCGATTGGTTTCATATATGTTCTCAATTGTATATAATTCATGTCAAAGCACACAAACTATCTGATTTATTTTATTTAGTTCATACGGAAAGTGATGAAACTATACATGTACAATATTCGAGTGAAATGCTTACTGTATGGAAATGATTTTTTGTAAAAAAAAAAATGTAGCATAGATATACAGAATATATTATAAAAAAAAGGAGTTATTTCAAAATTCTTTTATATCAGTATGATCAATAGAACGGTATCATATAAATTTTGATTGTATTTTTATTTATGATAGAATATCATTCGATATTGATGTACAGATATAGAAGTGCATTTCAATTTGTTTACAAGATGAAAACTCATTCAATATATTTGTAGTTCTGTTTGATAAAAAACAAATTAAACATTCTACAGTATTTTAAGTCATTAAATATAGTACAACTTTTTAAAATAGGATGAAATAAGTTACCAGCAGGATTCAATTTCTATGTTTAGTCAATTATATTCGACGTGTAAGTTTTGTAATCAATTAACTATACAATTTCTGACCACTGAGAACACTGTTTGATATTCTAATTTCTTTAAGGTTGTCTCGTTAGATTAGAATATATTTTCTATAAGATTTTATCATTGCCGATAATATATTTCTTCTATATTTAATCTAATTATTTCCGATCATTTGTACCTTTACGTTTTAATTGTTAAGCTTATCAAATACTATAAATATTGACATTAAAAAAAAACCCAAAATATTCATTTAATCTTCAATATGAATCAATATCATCATGGAATATGAAATAGTTCAATTCACATTCACAATTCAGTACTTACTGAATAATTCTATAGATATTTAGAATAATAATTATCATTATTGAGTTTTTAATTATAAAACATATGCAACAGTCATATTCCGGTTTATTCTTGTTTTAAGTTTGTCAGTATTTATCTATCATCTTACTCTGTAGTGAGTAATAGAAATACGTTTTGATTTTAGATCGTACAAAAATTAAAAAATTTCTATTTGTTTCATGTGACATCTATGCTTAAAAGTAAAACAACGAGTATTACATCAATAGAAAAATTGAATGTATAAAATTGAATTAAACATTTGGACACTATCAACAAAAAAAAAAAAGTATTGAATAATCAACCAAGAACTTCGTTTTTCTTTTCTTTTTTTTTTCACTTTTATTGAACAACAACTTCTCATTCAACATAAAAATTTGATGAATAAAAAGCATTTTAATCTTTCTTTTTTACATTTATTTATAAAGAAATAAAAGCCAAAAAAAAAAACTATAGCAGGCAGAAAACTCATGCAATCTTTCTTTTTTAAAATATACCTGAAATTAAAAAGCCAAGCATAGAAGAATAAAAAAAAAAAAAAAAAAGAAAAAAGAGAAAACTAATTTTTATCACGATCAATATTAGTGGTCACAACACACGCGTGCAAATTTTGTTATCTAAGTGAAAAAAATAATGTCTCTGTTCCATGGATTTGTATATGTGTCTTCTATTCACAACGATCATGTCAGTAACAGTAACAACCTAGAAAACAAAAAAAGTTTCAATAAAATAATAAATTTTAGGAAATTATTTTTTTTTTAATACTCACGATAACGGCATGAACATGTCACCGGACTGGTCGCACATGATCGACGTACCGGACTAATCGATCGGCTTCGAATAGGACTCGAATAACCTCGACAACATGGACTCGATGCTCGAGAACGACTCTACATTTATTAATCAAATAAAATCAGTTTTTTTTTTCTGTTCATAATTTAATATACATACCAATGAAGCGCCCCGTTTTGTACATGCTTCGCCCTTCAAAAGATAACAAAATAAATGTCATAGTTGATTAGTTTCTTTTTTTTTTCTTTTGTATTTTTATGAATAATTCCAACTAACAAAAAAAAAATTTACCTTAACAAGAACTCGTGAACCTTGCATTAATGCTGGCCATATATGATGATCAACAAGTGGTGCTGCATATTCTGAATCATAGCTACGTCGATATCTTAATTAGATAAAGATAAATAGAATTAATTTTTTTTTTCAAAAATTTTATTCAATAAATTTTTACTGACTTAGTTTCATCAAATACTTCAGCGTCGGTTGCAAATGCAGTATCTATTGGATAAACAAGACATGCCATATGCCAAGCAATACGACATGCTTCTCGTATATATGTATGAACCAAAGAATATGTTGTACCAAGTGGTAAACTTAATCGAGGATTACGATGTAAATTATCAATTACTTCCTTTATTAAAAAAAATATATTTTTTTTTTGAATAAATTAACAAAAAAAAACTAATCTTCTTACCGATATAATATTTGTTAATTCAAAATAATCAAGATTTCGATTAATATAATCTTGAATAGCATCTTCAAGTGAATCACAAGCTGAAACTGTAATAGACAATTGAGAACGAACACGTAATTTCCATTCAACAAAACGACGTTTTGATACTGAAAAAGCTTCCTTAAATTATATATAATAAAAATTTAATTTTACTAAAAACATTTCTTTTTTTTTTTTTCTTTTTTATTACTTGAATTATATTAAAACATATACGTTGATTCATTGTATAATCATCGGATACTCGTCGAAGTAGATCCATAGCATCAAGTCGTTGTCGTGCATATAAATCATTAAAACGTTGAATTAATGTATTTTCACGAATTTTTTGTAAAGAATCATTCGATGATAATGAAATTAATGAACGTGCTGGTGACACTGAACGTCGTCGTACACAACTAACAAAAAAAAAGATATTCATAAAAAAATCAATGTTTTCTTTTTTTTTGTTTTTGAGAAATGTCTTACCTAGGAATCGGTGAAAGAGATCGAGCTCGTGAACATCTTTGAGCACATTCAATATCATTACGTATACGACGAATTTCTCGTTCGTATTCATCAATGAAAATTGATCGTGGTTTATAACGTTCGAGTGAAAGTCGAAATTCAGCATTACTTAATCTATTAGAAAAAAATCTTTTTTTTTTTTTTCTTCATTTTACTCTACGGAAATATATTTACCGTGAGCGTAAATTGGCCAATTCAGTTTCGTTAAAAATCTTTTCATCTGTTGATTTATACCGTTCATCAATAAGTTCAGCCCGTGTTTGTTCGAGTCTAAAGAAAAAATAATTCTTTTTTGATAAAAAATTAAAGAAAAATTATTTAATTCTATGTACTCGGCTTCGAGCCGAGCATTGTCAACATTGGCATGACGTAAATCGAGTTCAAGTCCACTTAAATTTCTTTCATATTCATCAGCCAATGTTCGAAATTCAGCATCTGTATGAAGATGTGAATATGGATAACGCCACCAAGCCAATGGACATAAATCCGAACCGGTATTGCTTAATAAACCATTGAGATAGGATGCTTCATGGCTAAGAAATGGTAATAAACGTGCCTTGATTGTCGCTGCTCCACCATAGACACCGCCTATTAGATGAGGGATAATGGTAGAGTAATAGGGAAGAAAAAAACAAGATAGAAAAACTCAAATGAATGTATTAAAATGAAAAAAATGTTTGTTGTTATTCCCCGCCGACAGAAGCTGATATCACCTGGTGCTTGTAGTTCAGAGCAAATCAAACAATGCACAAAGTATATCAGCCATTTCGCGCAAGATTTCTATGTGTGTGTGTGTGTGTGTGTGTGTTGTGTGTGCATGATTATTATGTGTAAGAAAAAGAAGATAAAATGGAATGAACGTTTCCATCTTACTCAATTGTCGCGCTCGGAGAAACCGCGCGAGTGAGCGACTGAACGAGAGAAAGACCGAGCACATAATAGTAAAAAAAAGAAGGAGAGAAGAAGAGATATAGAGAAAAAAGTCTGACACCCGGAAGAAAGCATTTCCATTTGACGACGATGCGAAAAAAAAATGAGACCGACTTCTTTCTCCTTCTTTCCGTCTTTCTCTCTCTCTCTCTCTCTTTTGCTCTCTTTTTCCCTCTTTTGCACATCATGCACGATGGTTGAACAATGGTGATGAGATTTTTTTCTTGTCATGGCGCAGCTCGATCGAGCTTTTTGCGAGTTTCAATTAGAGAGACAAGAATAGCGGCAAGACAAGAAAAATATAAGATGAGAAGGGAAGACAAAAAAAAAGATGTTCTCAACTTGAGAAAATTGATTGTCACATAGAAAAGAAAAGAGAATATGCTCACAAGAACGGAAAATCGAATAGTTTTTTTTTTCTTTAATATTTTTTTTTTTGCTATATACTATATTTATATAGCTCACTTTGTTATTAGATGCCTGTTTCAAGATGAAACTTCTATTAGAGAATATAGTAAATGAATCTATCATTATCAAATTCTATTACTTGTTTTTTTTTTCTAATCTAAATCTAATGAATAATTATATCTACCTTATTTTCAATCTTGCTGTCGCAACAAAGAGAAAGGTTCAGTCAGGGCGTCTGCTTGAGCGAGCTCGTCAGGGTTGTGTTATATGTGTGTGTGTGTGTGTCAAAAAAAAAAAGAAAAAAAAGAAGAATAAGACTCTTGCCACTGCCATAACCACTACAGCGACTATTACTTCTATTTATTTTTTGTCTCTTTCTCTTCTTTTTATCGTCGATGACGTTGGTAACTTCTTTGTGTTACTAACATCCCGTGTTTCAGAAAATGATGATGATGAAAAAAATGCATACAACGGGAGGGAGATCGCTTGAATTAGCGCTCTTTCATTCATTCGTTCGTTCGCTCAAGTTTTTACTGATAATGCTGATGCCGATAGAAAATGAAAAGAACTACACATACACACATACACCGAATGACAGAATAAAACTAGTCGTTGTATAGTAAACTCGTTGTTACTTATTTTTTTTCTCCGTTTTTTTTTCTTCTCCTTTTTCTTCTATTCTTCTTTTTCTCTTGATAAAAATCTGTTGTTTGTATTTCAGACGGCGGCAGCGAACCGAATGGAAAAGAATATAACTTTACTCATTCCCTTTTCTACATTGTGTACGGCGACGCCTAGCGCTTAGCCCCGAGGCAGGAAATGTGCACGGGAACGACAATGAAAAGGAGGGAAGAAGAGAGAGAGAGAGAGAGAGAGAGAGAGAAGACGAGGGTGAGTGGGTGTTCCTGTTCTAGTAACGAATAGAAAGAATAGACTACGGGGA